AGTATAATTATAAAGTATACTTACCCGTAAAACTGCAGGTTGGAGTCATGTATTTCATCTTTTTTGCAGTATCTCTTCGATTCGCAACCTTCCACAAAACAATATAGTACCATTTTTGAGAAAAATGGTAAAAATAAAAATTAATTTTAAATGAATTCTATTGCCAAGTGCCAAATACTGCTGCAGAGACTGCTACCTTTGTTTCTCCCAACTACCGCTTTGCTACACGGTGTCGCCACAGATCTTGGCTACCAACGTGAAGTTGGCGTTAGCGGTCCATGATTATATAGTGATTATATAGTCAAAGCTCTGTTTCCTTATATTCCTATGTCCATGGTCGAGGCAGAGTCGAGGTATCGTTCATTTCCTAGGTCTGCCAACTGTGAAAAATTAAATGTTTGATGCTGCTAAGTTGCTACGACTGATTTAAATGCGTCTTTGTCACATCCTACTATTTTGTGCATTGTGTCCTTTTCTTGGCAAAAATTGACAGATTTCTGGTTAGGAGCACCGTGGTTTCGAGTTTTTAAACAGGTTAAGAGCAACGCGGTTTCAAGAGTTTGTTAAACAGTGAAATTCAGTAAAGGGTCAATATGGTATGGTGTATTGTGAAATCTTGCCCAAACAGAATAGATAAATGCTGTAAGACAGAAGTGAGCTTCTTCAGTTTACCGAAGAACGAAGTAATTCGTGAAGGCTGGCTTAAGAAAATCGGGGAGGTTAGCTTACCTTTAAATATAAAAAGTGGTAAGTGATTTTACAAAGATTATAAATATAGTATGTATATTTTATAATTAAAATATATTAACAAAAATGTAATAAGGCTCAAAAAATTACAAAATAAATTAATAGAATAAAGGATTACGAGCCAAAGCAAGATGTATTTTGCTCCAAATAAACAATAATAAAAGAATCGCTCACAAACCCTTATTGGGTCATTTTTAATGTTATAATAATAAGTATGATGTAAAATTCAAAGTCATCATCAGTTTTAAATTAAGAATTCGAAAATAAAATTAATTAAAACATAACAGTTATAAAATTAATGGTAATCATAACATTACGCTTCAATGTTGGTACGTAATTACAAGCATAAAGTTGAAGAGTAAGACGCATTTTATAAGATGATAAAATATACTATTATTTGTAGTAGCTGAATAAATAATGCCTTAAGTATTTAAAGTATTTTAAATAAAAAGAAAGTGTTATTGTGCTCTCTTAATTTGAATCAGTGAATACTCCTTATCTCAATTTTCACTTCAATTGTTAATATCATTGGAATCATTTTCAGCAAAGATATGTTCAGTCCATTTTACCGAACAATCATTCCGCATAAGAAGGAGGCAGAAGGCTGCAAAATGTACAAATCCGAGATGGCTCCTTTTACCTAAATGCATTTCCCACCATAATGTTATCTCCAACGGAAAATAGGTAAATACATATATCAATAAATGATGTGAAATACTGTTTTATTCCTTCTATTTATTGTGTTACATTTTCAAAATAAAATGAAAATTATAATGATTTTTTTATTTTTTAGAACAGGTACTGCTGGCATGAATTTCAAAGTTATTCATAGAGAATTCCTGCTTATTGCTAATGTTCATAAAAGCAGATGAAGGATCGAGCAGTAATGAGAAACCTTCCAGCACTTGTCGGAACTTTGATGTTGATGGCTCGTCAATAGCATTGGATAATGAATCAAAGTCAACCGAAGAAAACATATGTATAGCACAATGTGGAATCGTTGCAGATTCATTACATCCTGAAAATGCCAGTCCCGATCCATTTAACATATCAAAGACTGTTGTGAACATTGAAACACCCAAAAGTTATGATTGAAAGTAAAAATCGCAACATAGTGCCAATGCTTAAAAATATATGATTGATAATATTATTAAATTAATATAGACGACAGATAGTAATGTCTCTTCATGTTGTTGTAGAAAATTATGAGTTGATAAAAGAAAAATTTTTGAAACTCCACAAAGTACATCTGATGCGTCTGACAATGTATATAATGCCACTTTTCCAAGAAGGTATGTTTACAATTTCTTAAATGTGGTCAATTCTTTGTTATGTTGCACTAAATAGCCATTCAAAATTTCTGAAAACTGTTAACTATTTATATTTTTATACAGATCGCAAAGAGTAAAACGTTTGCATAGTCGCAGTATTAGAAGCTCATTTTATACGCAAATAAAGAAACGACAGATTAGAATTCGATCTCTCAATAAGTTTCATTTACAATCCAGATACAATAATTTGGGTGAAATGAAAGAGATTGAAAGAAAGTGCCAAACTTTACAATTGCAATTAGTACAAAAAAATAGATATTCAAAATTTAATAGAAGAAAAGAAACAAATGCAAGTAATGATTAATGATCTTCAAGCGAAACTGGTGGCAGCTGATCTCGACAAACGTAACTTCGAAAAGACAGCTGAAAATAAGGTTATACAAAAATTGCAATGATATTTTACAGAAGGACAAAGATGCATCATAGAAAATCGAAAATGGATTCGGTGGTCAATAGATGATTATGCAATCTTATTTTGCTGCAATGTTAGTCCAAAAGCATGCAGATATTTTCGACTTAAGCTTAATTTTCCTTTACCGTCGCTCACTTTGTTGAGAAGGTGGGCTTTAAAGAAATTTGATATTCGAGAAGGATTTCTATTTGACGTTCTCACAGTAATGCGAGAAAAAGCTAAAACACTCACATCGTTTGAGAAAGTAACAGTTTTCACTTTCGATTAAATGGGTATAAGTCCCGAAGTTCAGTTTGATTCGAAAATTAAGAAATTGATTGGTCCTTGTGGAAAAGTTCAATTATCCATGTATTATCCATGTATTATCCATGTATTCTAGAAGAGGTGCTACAATGTTTGATGCAAACTTGGACTTATATAAGAATTCGAGAGATCAATAAAAAGCAATACGTGCAAAATGAAGAAAGAAAGAAGAAAAAAATAAAAAAATTATTTCCAGTTCTACAAAAAAAAAGAGAAATAAATAATGTACATTGTAAATTATAAATGAATCAAAAAATAAAGTATGCATTTTACTCCAAATTTCATGTATATTTATTAAAAAGTTACTTTTATATAAGCAAAAATCATTAATTAATTT